TCCAGGTGCTCCTGAGATTGCAGGGAGCGCGCGCACGCCGCCTCCAGATGCTCCTGAGATTGCAGGGAGCGCGCGCACGCCGCCTCGAGGTGCTCCTGGGCGGAGGGTTGAGGATAGTTTTTGTATCGTGGTTACCGATTTGATCAAGGTCATTGAAAGGTTTAAGGAAGATGCTGGTAAAATTTGTAGGATCAATTGAAATGCACGACGGTATTTATATGTTTAACCCAAGCAAGATATATTCACTTGTCAATAAACTGGATTGTTTTAAAGGGGAATGTATTGATCTATGTGATTCACGTAAGGGCAGATCACTTTTCAAAACTTTTGCACAAGCAACTGGCGCCGAAAGATGATTAAGAAATTCCCTCATGATGTCTTTCAGTCCAACGACATCAGTGGCTTTATTAGTTTTTGCTTCTTTGGTAAGTAACCCTTTGTAGAAATAGTGACGTATTTTAAATGTAAAATAACGCCTTTGCTTTAAAAACAAGGATAGAGGAATTTCGAATGAACACCCGATAATTTTGGATGATGAGGTCTCACTATTGCTCTCGCTTTTTAATGAAGCAGGGTTGTGTGAGGCCAGCACTCCAAATTTTTTTTGCATCATCTTAGTTTTTCACTGATTTTTTTTAAAATTCAAGTTAATCTGTTAAATGCTTTATTGAGTCTTTTGCCTGCTCCTTCACTTCCAAAGAAGTTCCTGTAGTGCTTTTCTTTCAGTGATTGGTCCCCCCAAAGTAGATAGTATGCCTTTTACTCATTTACTCTGGGGGTGTTTGCAATTTAAATAATTTGCTTTTAATATGTTTATATAATTGTGCTTCCAGCCTCAACCTGGTCTTAATTTAGGATCATATACAGGATCAGGCATGTTATATTTTGTGATTTGCACGAGGAAGCAGATTTTTTTTGCTGTATCTAGTTGAGTGTCAATATTGATGGTTGTAAGCTTGTTGAAAAATCGGAAGTGACTCTAGGGTAGTCTTTCAAATATGTAATAGCAATTTTATAATGGACAAATTTTAATGCATTTGATGCATTGCCTAAGGTAAAATACAATGTGAAAATTAACGGTGAAATATCTTTCAAGAATCAAAAATCGTGGGCTGCTTTATCAAAATGCTGTGTCTTTCCAGTGTATGTTGTGCAGGTCAGATATGCTCCACTTAAACATGTTCATATATTTTAATACTCATAAATACTGGCTGTGAAATTTGGCTCATTGCTACAAGTACCTGTTATCTGCAGTATTCAAACACACTTGTGTGTACCAGGCAAGCGTCTGTTTTGTTGAAGGTATTTACTAAGAGCGGATCCCCAAAGATTGCAGATCATGATGTACACCAGTGAGTAACACTTTCAGCAGATACCATATCTAGTAAGGGTCTTCCGAGAATCATCCGACTTAATCCTTAGCACAAAACAATGTATCTGATGTCTCCACTTCAAAAAGGATATTTTTATTAAAAATCTGCTTCCCACTACAGTCACAACTGGAACATCATAGTAGGAGAGCTGGAGCAGACTATATTCTAACATCTCCCAGTTTGCCATCGTTTTTTTTCCAAGAATTGTCACTATTTCTCAGTTTTGCAGGAAAGTTGAGGAAATTTAATTCTCTCATGCCAGAAAGTAGCAAAATAGAGTGAGCACATGGCTGTGAGGATTGCAGGCTTTCCCATAGTGTGGGATTAATAACTGTTCAAATACCTCAGTAAATTGATGTGCCCCGGTCTGGATTGAAAACTGTTGATGTGACATTAATCGTCTTAATTTCTTTGCACCCCCACCCCCACTCAAACCTGTCTTCGTCTGAACTGACTGCACTCTGAGCTCTCCGATCCAGTCCTGACTTTGTCATCAAGCCAGCCAATTAAGGTGGTACTGTTGTTGTTTGGCGTACTGACCTCTGTATTATGGAGGCTAAAGTCCCAGCTCTTGGATACCACCTCCTATTTCCCCCCGGACCATGGCCCCTCCATTGAGCATCAGGCCATTGTGCCCACGACTGTCACTAACCTCATGTCATCTGGGGTTCTCACCACAACAGCCTCTCAGCTCATAGTCCCCCAACCCGGTACAGCCAGGTTCTAACTGATGCTACTTCCCCTTCTCAGTCTGAACTGAAAAAAAATGATCAATTTTGCTTCAAATTTCCACCCTGCCTTCACCTTGTCGTGGTCTATTTTCAACTCCTCCCTTCCCTTCCCTTCCTCAATGTGTCAGTTACCATTTCTGGGGATAGGCTGGCTACCAGTATACACTACAAATCCACTAACTCCCACAGTTATCTTGACTATACATCCTTGTCCCTTTCTTCCTGTAAGGACGCCATCCCATTCTTCCAGTTTCTCTATTTCGATTGCTTCTTTTCTGATGATGCCACCTTCTGTAGGGGGTGGACTCAGAAATGCCTACCTATCTTCCTCAAGTGATGATTCACCATCACTGTGGTCGACAGGGCCTTTAGGTATGTTTGCCCGTCTTGAGCAGTTCTGTCATCACCCCTAGCCTCCCCTACCATAACAATGATAGGGTCCCCTGGTCCTCACTTACAACCCCACCAGCATCCGTATCCATAGGATTTTAAGTTGCCATTTCTGTCACCTCCAATAGGATGCCATGACAGACACACATTCCCCTCCCTTCCCTTGTCATCATTTCACAGGGACTGCTCCCTCCAGGACACGCTGGTCCACTCCTCCATTCCCAACATCTCTTCACACTTTCCCATACAATCGTAGAAGGTATAATACCTAATCCTTTACCTCCTCCCTCCCAAGGCCCCAGACATTCCTTCCAGATGAAGCAATGATTTTCCTGTACTTAATCTGATGTAGTCTACTGTATCCACTGTTCACAACACTGTCTCTTCTGCATTAGTGAGGTGAAATGCAGACTGGGTGACTGCTTGTCAGAACATCCATGTTCTGACCTCAAAAATGACACCCAGCTTTCAGGTTGCCTGCCACTTGACTTTGATTTTTATTTTTATTTTTATTTTATTGTCATGTATGCTCAAGCGCAAAAGTACAGGAGTACAGTGAAAAGTGTATAATGTCACCTCACAAGGCGCCATCTTGGGTACAAGTACCTAGGTACAGAATCTTAAGAGCAAAGTAAAAAAGAACAAAGTTAAAAGTTTAAAATTTGCAGTATTAATAGTACAGTGACACCTTCTTAGTTTTAAGTAAAAAAATTAAAGTTCAAACATTACGGTCGTTCTTGAGTGCTTAGCCACGGTGGGACTGCACTCTGAGGAATTACCTTGAGACTGCAAGTCCCCGCTGAGGCCACACCAGGCCACTGAGAATGCTCCATGCCAGGCTGGGAGGCCACCATGCTGAGTCCGAGGCCATGAGTCTGAGACCAAGAGAAGAGAGAAGAAAGAAACAAAACACAAAAGAGAAGAAAAAAAAAGGAAACGGATGGAGTGGACAAATTCCATCTGAAGTGTCCTACTCTGCCGCCATCTTCAGACAACACACTAGCATGTTCCCTGGCCACCATTTCTGTCACAGGCCTGCTGCAGTGTTCCAATCAAGCTTGAAGAACAGCATCCCATTTTCTGCTTGGGGACCCTACAGCCTCTAGGACTCCACTTCGAGTTCAATAACTTTAGAGCCTGTTTCCATCCTTTCATGTATTTTTAGCTACCCAATCTAGTCCTCATGATGTGGGTTGCTTTTAGCACAGTCGCCCATTTTCATATATTCCTAGGCCTATTACGACATTATATGGGTTGCATTCAGTACAGCTGAACCATTTTTGTTCTAGTCTCCATTGTTATTACTTTTTCAGCTTTTCTTCTGTGCTAGCCTGCAATCCATTATTTCATTGTTTCCTTGCACCTTTCATCTCTCTCTTCCCCGTGGGCTCTATCTCCACCTATTTGCCTACCAAACGCCCACCCCCAAATCCCTTCAGCGTAAGTATCACTTTTACTTGTTGCTGACTGTTCTGATGAAGAGTCATTATCACCATAGGAGGAGGAGGATCATAGAAGCCCTACAGTGTAGAAACAGGCCCTTTGGCCCAACAAGTCCACACTGACTCTCCGAGCATCCCACCCAGACCCATCCCTGAACACTATAGGCAATTTAGCATGGCCAATCGACCTAGCCTGCACATCTTTGGACTGTGGGAGGAAACCAGAGCACCCGGAGGAAACCTACGCCGACATGGGGAGAACGTGCAAACTCCACACCGACAGTTCCCCAAGGGTGGAATCGAACCCAGGTTCCTGGAGCTGTGAGGCAGCAGTGCTAACCACTGAGTCACCAGACTTGAAATATTAACTCCGCTTTTTTCCCATACAGGTGCTGCTAGACCTGCTGAATTTCTTCAGCAATTTTTGTTTTTGTTTCAATCTAGTTCCTTTCTGGTCGGGCTGTCAACAGTTTGACTTCTGTGAATGTGATGCTGGTAACGATACCATCAAATGGAACTGTAATTTTCTTCTCCATTCGTCAACAATCCTATATCTTGCATTTCCTCTTGTTATTGCCCGCCAAAGATTTCATTACATTCTTCTGTAGACCACATTATCAAAGACTCCATTGGAGTCCTCTGCAGCGGAACTTGTATGATCTTGTTTTGTTGTGAGCTGGCTCCGCATGATCCTCTTGTTCTGCTTTGGCTGCAGGCCACTTGCACCTGGAGTTTTACCACATGCAGATGCTGCATCTAGCATATCCTCAGAGTACATGCAGTGTCACTTGAGCTAGTGGCTGTAAATGTGAGAGCAGGTAATACCTTTTTCTCTTTGCTTCACTGTCTTTTTGCTCTTCGCTCTTTTTTTTCCTTCCGCTTGGAATGCTCCCTGATGACTTTTCAGATTTTGAGTACTTCAAAGGATAAAAGCAGATGTGTAGGTTGTGGTGAAGCAAAATTGGAAAATCAAGTGGTG